CAGCTTAGTGCGGTTCCTTTAATCTGATTCACAAGTCACACAACTGTTTGGTTACTACTTTCTCCAGAATCTGATGATGGCTTCGATGAAGAAATTATTGAAGTTAACTGATTGATAGCAGAAAAACATTCTAAATATATATCTAAGTTTACATTAGTTAAAGTTCCTGAACTTGGAGAGCCACTGATAACTGTTGATGGCATTTGTTTATTAATTTTCTCTCTAATAGTAATATTTTTATGATAAAAAAATCTCATGAAATCATTGCTTCTTAAGGTTATGGGGATATGTGGCTCAATAGAGCTGTACTCTCTGTCAGCCCTGGCTACAGTGGCTGAAAGAGGAAAGCTAGGGTTGTTCTTATTTTTTTCTATTAATGTTGAGTAATAGGCTCCTCTGGCATTACGGAGGGCCTTTCTATAGGTTTTAAGATTATCTTGCCAAATTGAGCGATATTCTAATAATTTCGAATCCATTTCCTTTCAGATTTCCTTGCTTTTTTATTAAACACTGATGGAATCTCCTCCTTGCATTCATAATGATCTTAAAAGTGTTAAATTTAAGCTGCAGAGACCCTGATATATATATTTACACTGTTCTTTATTAGATTATGGTTTTATTGTTGTTTTTTGCACTCTGACAGGACTACAGCATCGATGAAGAGGCAGCACTGCAGGCAGCTCTGGCACTGTCACTGGCTGAAAACTGACAATAGTTACACCCCCAACCATCCTGTCACCGCCAGCACCAACTCCACCACCACTGTGCTGCTGCTCCTCCACTGCTCAAAAGGTATCATCCTGACCCAGCCACATTCACATTCTCTCACTTCCTTTTCACGTCAAGCCAAGGAGGATTTTCCTGCAGCCAGGATGGATGGATGTATCTTGTCTGCTTCATTTTGATTTGATGGTTTGAAGACACTGTGGGTTTAAAATGGATCCAGTGACTGTATCAAGATAAGCTATGTCAAAAACCCATTACACATTGACTTTAAAAATCCAAACCTACAGCTTGGAAACCACTCACAGCTTCAGTTTCAGCTGCCACCTGGACCAGCACAGCATGAAGGGCTACCTCCACGGAAAAATGTCTCCTCTGTGAGTTGGATGCCTGCTGACTCTGAAACAGTGGTTCACGTCTCTGAGCACCTTTGTGATGAGTTAATATCCAGAAGCTAGCCCACAAGAGCTAATTAGGAAGCATTTTGCAAAGGTAAACATAAGAATATAAAAAAACAAACAATGAATCAGTGGCTCCTATATTCATGTGGTATTTTGCAAGACAAAGGCAAAACAAAATACCAATAGCTGGCAGCAATAGCAGGCTAGATGACTATATACACAACAGAAAGTTTGTCATGGTGCTCAGCTCTGTAGGAAATTACTTTGTTGACTGAGCGGCCGGTAGCATGGTTGCGTCTGTAATATTACAGTCCATGACATCTTTCTGATGGTCATGTTTAGGGCTGTGTGATATGACCAAAATTTCATATCCCATAATATAGGTTATTTCATATCCAGATAATGATGCATATCAGCACATTTGCTTTAAATTAGATGAACAGTTTATATAAACTGGTCACATAGAAAGGCCCCACATTTTGAATCATATATTTTTCTCCTTTTATTTAGAACCTTTGTGCAAATTTTCTCTTTCTCCGTTCTGATTGACATGATTTGTGGGATGATGTGTCGGTGGTAAAAGAGTTTAGTGGTGTTTGAGTCTGTTATGGTGACCAGTCTGTGGCATAATTTGCAAAGTGTGGTTTTCTGGTTCGTGTCAGAGTTTTCGTACCCAAACCATGCCCGCGTGACAAACGTAGATCCCAACTGATATACAATTTTAGGGCCCAGTACCAATTTTAGAGAGGGAAAAGTCACTGATTATTACCTAAATGGCAGCCAGTATAGTGAAGTTTCAAGCTGGAATGAGAATAGCACTTTTTTACTCTGCAAAAGGACTCGTATTATATTCTTACTCTGTGCTGCTTACCCCATTGTAAATCACAGCGCACTCTGCTGGACGAACTTTGTAGTGACGGCAATATATTACCACAAGCATTTATTTTTGCACTAAATACTGGAAAATCAGTTTTCATATCGGAGCATATTGCATAACATCTGCCGGTACTGATACGATGCCAATATGTCTGCGATATCAGCCAATAATACCAGGCTGACCCATATATGGGTCGACTGATAGGACGACCCGACACACTGTATATCTTCATATCGCGCAGCCCTAGTCACGGTCTGTAGTTCAGATGGCGCCAGAACATCATTCATTAAGAGGTTGAAATTCCAAAATAAGTGTGTAAGCTCCTTCCATTATCTGGCCTTACAGTTCCACTTCGGTAACCCGGTGGTCCACACTGCTACACTCAGTTTGTATTGTATTGTATTCTGCCTGCACTGTTGAAGTTAGTCAGACAGATGGCAGACATTCTCCGTTATTTACACACTGGACTCCGGAGAGGACATGTAGACTGACAGTTGTCCCTGTAATATTATATTATATTGAGAAAAATATCATAAACAGTACATACAGTGTTGAGTAGCGGCAACAGAACATATAAGACTGTATGATAAACTGAGGTTTAAATACAATACTGGCAGTATTTTAAACTATTATAATAAACACAGCAATATTAATCTAAAGTAAGATCACTGTTAAGATACTAAACCTTACCACATAAGTATGAATAGGAATATAGTATTATTCAGGGCTTAGAATTCCTGTGAGCTGGAGATTTTATATTTGTATTAATTAAATTTTATTGTTACTTTCTATGCACACAAAAATGGAATTTGTTAAATAAACCACTGAAGAAGCAAAATACTCATTTCTAAGATGAATGACTGAAATTATTCTTTTCAGATGTCTGTCAGCAGCTGGAGGGAAATATGCAGGTTTGTGTGGAGGCTGATGGATTCATGTTCCAGATAAACTTTGACGAGGTTCATGATATCAGTGGCTGTGGTGGCTAGTGGAGAGACAGCGCACCAGGCTTAGTGTTTTTAATGAGCTCCACCTTTTCAGTCCCGTTTTGCACACACTGCTGTACCACACCACTGTGGAACTAAAGGCCTCTGCCTCTGCTGTCTGTCTTACTTGCTCGCTCTGTCTCTCTCCAAAATAACATTTACTCTATGTTTGAAAAAACTCAATACTAATACATACATTACAAAAAGAATCAGCATAATATTTCATATCTATTTAAGGCAGACTTGTAAACAGAGTGTAAATTTGGTCTTCTGTCCATGTCCATGAGGCTCTGTGTGGACTGCCTGCACCAACAAACATACACATCTGTGTATGCAGAGACCCAGCATAGTAGAAACAGAACCATATCCACTATCCGTGTCTAGTTTTGGACTCTGTGTGGCCCTTTAGCCAGCCCTAACCTCTTACTGTTGCTTTCTACAACACTAACCCTTACATACAAGCCCTGGTTTTCTTGGCTCATTGTCATCTGATCCCCCTTTTGCACCAAGGCAGTGTGAGGGCTGGTTGAGCCGGTGCCCAATCTTGAACCAGTTTCAACAGCCAAAGAACTGTCAATGTTGATGATGCCGATCTGGGTCGATGTTTGTTTGGTTTTAAGTGTCATGTCCGATAAATCAAAACTTAGAAAAAGAAAAAAGAGAAAAAAAAGGTTTGTTCAGACTGGGCATAAAGCAGATTTTTCGTTTTTTGCATTATAAATGTATGCATTATATACTTATCAATGACCAACATTTAAAAAGTCAAAGAACCAGCTCTTGGCCAGGTAAACTGGTTTCAGCTCGGCACCAGAACATTGCTGCTCTAGAACCAAGAACCGTTTACAGCAGTAGCTGGGGCGCCTTGTGGCCAGACAGCTTTGTATTTATTAGCTGTTTAGCACATATTACATTGCATCGAGGCAGATGGCCACCCACCTAGAGTCGGGGTCTGCTCAAGGTTTATGCCTCTTAAAAGGAAGTTTTTCCTTGTCACTGTCGCCAAGTGCTTGCTCATGGTGTGAACTGTTAGGTCTCTGTAAATAATTTTATAAGGAGTATCATCTAGACCTAGGTTACAATACAATCTAAAAAATATCGTAACCTTGGTAACAACAGCTAATATTGGAGACATATACAGTGATGTAATGACATGGCTCTCAAGCCCATGGAAAAGAAAACCAGTTCTTAGAAGGTTCGCAACCAACACTAGCACCAGCCCAGAACTAGCTCTAGGTTCGCGTTGGTAAAACAAGGGTATCAGTGTGGAGTGTTGTGGAAGCTTCATCAGAGGCTAATGGCAGGTTGTCAGACTCGGCAATATGAAATCTCCAGAGGAAGCAGCAATGTCAGAATAATCTATTCTATTACTAACGTGAAAGATTGAATTCAGTGCACTTCGGTGTCTCCATCACTGGACTGCAGCAGCTGAAAATACGTTAGGGTCCTTCAACTGGATTCAGACCAGCCACACTCATTGGTAGAGTGACCCCGAGAGCAAAATGTGGAAATTTTAAAATCAGAGACAGACAGCCGGCTGAGTGTGCAACTGATCCACGGCCTATCCTGTTTACTGTGACGTTGAACTAGTTTCAGATGTTTAGATGATAAATTTGTCATAATTCTGCCATGGCGACACCAAAAGGAAGATTCAGAGAAAGCTGAGTTGTAGCTCATCCATTACTGTCTATGCCAGCTTCACTGATGACAACAGAAGACACCTAAAGAGACAAGATCAAAGTGCACCAATGAGGGAAGGATCTCATAAAAGCAAAGTCAGACACTTCCTATTTTTTATTCGTGTGAATATTTGCACTTATCAACCTTTTTTTTTACCAGATGGATCTGTGGATATGAGGTCTAACCTCCATGTTACTGCTATCTGCCTCTTCAGCTCTCACTACAAGGAATATTTTTATGATCCATCAGCCAAGACAGACCAGTATAAAAGATATATTTTTGGAAAACGTTTAAAACCACTGGACTAATCTCAGACATCATGGGTCAGATCTGTGTCTGCAACCTCCCGGGGATGTTGAAGTTGTCAAACTTGAATTGCTGTTAACACACAAGAAACTTGTGCAGGACTAGAGAGAATGGGACCGATGTTTTCTATAGTTTAACCAATAGATGGCAGTCCTTCTCCAGACTTGCAGAGCCATACTGAAACCAACACACACAGAGAAGTCATGCTTTGTACAGGGACATGTTGTGGCACAAACAGAAGAGGTAACTTGGGTAATGTTTCCACAGAAGGATATATTCATCATTTGCACTTTAATTCACTCAGTTTTTTAAATGATAGTTGGAATTCTATTTGTATAATCTTAACTCTTGTTTAATGATTTTACAATTTAAATTTCATTGTGTTTTCTTTAAAAAAAAGAAAGATGTTGTATATTGTAAAAAGTGTCAGGGGTTAGATGTTACCTGATAGAAAATGTACCATTAGTTTTGTTTGTGTGACAAAACGTTCAATATTTGTTGACTGAGTACTTCATTTAAATGGGCAGCATGTGCCATTTTTTTCCTTCCAATGATGTTTTTGTAGTCAAAATCACTTTAATTGACGGGAACGTTCTTTATGCAATACCAGAGCTGACAGGCACTCACAGGAAAAACAGGTCAAGTGTAAAGAATGAGTTCTACAGAGGAGAATTAATGTAATGAGAAGAAAAAGAAATCCCATGTTCACATTATTAATGATGATAATGGTAAAGGTAGGAAAGATTAACGTGTATGACCTGTAAGCATTCACATCAGCTGATAATTCAATGCAGCCATGTGGTAGCTGAGTCGGTCGTGAGGGTTAAAAATACTTTGCATTGACAATATAGATTTACATTCTTTAAAATTGGGTTTAATTACCTTGAACGACCAGTGCCATGTCAGATACATCAAAAATATTAGTTTTCCATCAAAATTACAACTTAATGAGAACTAGAATTAAAGGTATGTTCAGACTGAAGTGTAGCTGATATAACCTCACTATTGGTTCCAATTGGACTGCTGGGAATCACCTGGGCACCCTGGTGGTTCATAATGTTCTACAGCCATACGGGTGTGCACTGTGGTGTTCTGACACCTTTCTATCAGAAGCAGCATTAACTGTTTCAGCAGTTTGATGCTACAGTTAAGCTCGTCTGTTTTGGTCGGAACACACGGGCCAAGCCCTGCTCCCCACATGCACAATGAGCCATGTGGGCTGATCTCTGGTTCTTTCCTACTTTGGGACTACTTATGAGCTGAGCTGCAGGTTTTGGGAGATGCCTCTGACCCAGTCGTCCATCACAATGCTGGCCCTTGTCAAGTCGCTCAAATCCTCACGCTGGGCACATTTTTTCCTTGCTTCTAACACAAACAACTTTGGAGCAAAATGTTCACTTGCTGCCTAATATATTAGGTGCTGCTAAGCTAACATCATATGTTATAGCATATCTTGGCTAAACAGTAAGCTGAATGTCCGTGTGCAAGTCATTTAACGTTAGCTGGTATAACAAGTTAGTGTTGCGTGGCTCGGTTTGATCCAATGTTTCCCATTTACAGAGCCAGGGCTGAGTACAAACACAGAATTTCTTTTTTAGTGCACGCTGAATTTGAAAAAAAAAGAATCTCCTAATTTTACATTTCATCTTTCAGGAAATTGGTGGATAACAAATATTTCTAGCACATTAAGAGTGAAGTGATTAATCTCAAACTAAAATCATTTTTCTCCTTTTTTTTATTTTCCTCTTCCGTAAATTGCATATCTCACTCTAAATATAAAATAGAAATCTTTAACACACATGAGAGCTCTTTTTATATTTCAGTAGATTTGCCTCAAACAAACACAATTATTTCTTCTGTTTGTTGTTTTTTATATTCATGTTATAATAGCAATCTTTTATAAATCTTTGTTACCTCCTGACCTCTGTAGCAGAATTCCTTGATTCTTACTTTGTTCCACTCTGTGTACTCCTTGTTTATCTGCTTCTTCAGTTGAAACATTCCACCTCTGAAATGTAAATAATACTGTTTAATCCTTGTTTTTGTGAACCTGCTCATCACTGATGATTTTTAAAGGCAGCCGTACAGGTTACAGTAGCTCAACAGTCGCATACACACAGCAAAATGTTACTGTAGAATACTGTAGGGACTATACACGATAACAAAGACTTTCTTAACCACACTGGTTGCAAACATGGAGGTGTATGAAAACTGTCTGGCTTGTAAGGGTTAACGGGTTGGTTGGTTGGTTGGTTGACTATCACAAAACAATACTCACATGTCATAGGCATGTTGAATGAGTTATCCGTCGCTGTAATTATTCCTCCTCCATACTGGCCTTTTCCACTACATGGCAAAACTTTAGTTGTGGGGTCTTTTAGACTTTCCGTTATCGGACCAAATGGATGTTTTTCATGGGAGCTGTAGTTCTGTAGGTGCTCACAAAGTGAGCCTTGTTTAACTTTGCGTAGGCTAGCCAGGATGTGACATCATGACTCGCCATCTTTGTTCAGGCAATTCACTTGTATGTTCATTGTCTGTGTTTCGGCCCGACAAACCTGAATGCGACTACCAGGATTTATCCCTCTGCCAAGGCTGATTGTGGAAACACAAAGAGGGAATTTTGTACTAAAAACACTTGATTTGGCTAACTCACATTACTCAAGCCTCATATTCGTGATAGAGTGCATTGTCTGTGGATGGGATATTTTCCCCATTTCTTACAGCGTAGATACGCTACAAACAGAATACTACATGGTGAGTGTGGAGAGGAACAATTGCGGTGAACATATGATGTGAGTATTGTACTACGATAGACAAGCCAGATCCAAACCTATCCTCTAAATATAGTGACATACAAGCTGATAGTTGGCTACCTGACAAGCCAGCAGACTCATTTAGCACCAACATGCTAATGCTACTTTCTACTAGCACAGCAGATACTGTGTTTAGCCTGCTAATTACATTAAGAAAACCACTGTTGAATTTTACTAGTAGACCTGTAGCCTCCTTGAACCAAGACACCAACAGGGGCTGATTGGACTGAATTTATTGTAAGATGGTATCTATAGAGCTAAAGTGATTTTCAGTCAGATATTTTTACTTTTGACATGTAGATCCCTTATGAAACCTGAACTGTCTAAGCTGGTCTTTGACAGACATATGTTGCCCTACCAGCTGCTTTAAAGGGGCACTCACATTTTACACATAAATGTCAGTTTACGCAGCATGGTGACTCCCAACTCTGTTAAACAGTTGTTATGTTCAAGGGTTGAGCGAGTACTCGGCTGAAACGAGTATCATGTACTTTGAGGTAAAATGTGTCACGTAAAAGTCGTAAAACTTAACTTATTTATTTATTTTTCAAAGTTACTCTTGTATGACTGGTTAGATTTCCGGTTTGTCTGGCACCTTTCCTGTTTAAGCATCACCCACATCTGGTTTATGCTTTGCCCATTCCAAGTACCAAATGCAGATAATTTAGTTGGTCGAACAGGTAGAGATAATTGTGTACTCACTCACCCCTACTATCTTCCCTAAGGAACAGTTCTTAAAGAATATAACCCTGGAGCTTGACCCATACTAAATAATAAAAGTCGGGATATCCCGGCCACGGTGGTCCCCCAACTTTATGCAAGTGCACTACTACAATGAGTCCCTGGAGTAGGCTTCTAAAAGCCACTTCAAAGTGACCAACCAACAAAACACACCGTAACACTACTGAAAACCATTCAGGTGTCATGGGAAGTTGATTATTCTAATTTGAAATGGTGCAAAGACAAAGTACAAGTGAAACCATGACCAAAACCTTAATCCCCATGGACAATTTTGGTCAAATTACACAGGAATAAAAAAGTATATGTTATTGTTTCACAAAAATCTGGCAGTACCTTAAAAAATAGTACATTAAATCAGCACACTGACTTGACTAGATAAAGTTGATACAACTTCTCATTCTGAATTTCACTGCACCGTAATACGATAATTTAACTTAAAAATATTGTTAAAATGGATTAATCAAAAATTGTAAATAACACAAAAAGTAAAAAAAAAAATGATTAAGTACTTTTTACTAGGTATTTTGTGTTCACGAAACAAATAACCGACAAAATTAAGTCAGTGAATGTTTTTTAACTTACAAAATTGAGTTACTTTTACTTAAAATGTTTGATGTAATCCGTTTAAACACCTTTTAGAGTTAAATAAACATCTGGTTTTACAGTGTGAGGTAGTGTTTTGTGTGAAAAGAAGGAAGAAGTTTGAATGTGTAAAGTGCAGACATATACATTCAAGTCAGCCTTCAGTGTGATTTAATATGCATTCTTTATAAACATAGTAAGAATACCAATAAGAAGTGCTTGCAGTGACATTGCTGCTGGAGATGAAGATGATAATGATGTCTGGGTTTTTCAGCTGTTGCACTGCTTGGGGTTTTATCAGAACACTATTAGGATGTTTTGTAGCATTTTCTTTTTGCCCTTAAATAAAATGAGAAACTGAATATATTGTAGTTGTATTTTTATCATGTGGTCTATAAAAATGTGGAACAATGTTCTTTATTGCAAAGATATTACCATGCTTAAAATGGAAGCTGACGCAATAATCTCTTAGCTCTGTGAGTCACTGTCAGTGATAGAAATAACGGCGTTACTTTTTTCAGTAACGAGTAATCTAATTGATTACTCTTCCCATTTTAATAACGGCGTTACTGCCAAAAAATGTGGCGCGT